AGGTTTTGGCTTTTGGAGGTTCCTCCACACTGACATCCAATCAGGCTGGAAATCTTTCCATCCTCTCCAGCATTCCATAGCATTCCTTTTTGCGAACACTCTCAGGGGTGGCTGTCATTTCTTTTCTAGTTGGCCTTGGATGGCATCTAGGATTTATCTATGCATTTCCCTGATTCCTCCTCAATCTGAACCATTTTATGTCCTCACTCTCTTTGAAGAAATCAGGGAGGACTGTCTTTCTCTTTGCACTGTACTACCCGGGTTGCCTTCTTTCTGATGATATATGTATTTTATCTAATTCTAAACAATCTCATAATAATCTTCTTACTGGGGTAGCAACAGCAAAGATGTCCTCCTCTTCTCTAGCACCATCTCTCAAATAACTGTTTCTTTTTTTCTGGGATCAAATGTTTTACTTCCCTGCAAGACGAACTGTCAACTACAGCCAGGATTTCTTGAGTGGCCCGTGTGTTGCTCCATTCTGGCCTGTCTGTGAACATTCAATTCTTTGGCACACTGTGCGCTATAATATTATCAGGGATATGCACACTATTGCCTCAGAGGCATTTGGCACTTCTTTGAGAGGGTGACACATAGGAAATATAACCAATTGATTTCTAACTTTGCTTTTAGTTTCTTGAGACAGGTTCTCTCTCCATAACCCTGCATGTTCAGGAACTAACTATGTTGATCAGGCTAGCCTTGAATTCACAAACATCAGCCTGCCTCTACCTCTAACACTATCTCTGCCTATGGCTCTGCCTCTGCAATTACCCTAGCCCTGACCCTGGGCCTGGCCCTAACTCAAGAATGTTGCGACTAAAAGAACAATCCCACAAACAAATAGAATCAAGTTTCTTTCTATCTATGTGCATATCCAGGTTTCCCAGCATGACTGGATGAAGAGGTCATGTGGAAGCCAAGGTGCATTTTTCTTATCTAATAAAAATCTGAATATCTGAATATCTGTAGCCATGGCAGAGATCCTAAGAATGTCATCCAACTGTTGTAGGGGCCTAAGTGCAGAGGTGCAATGAAAGGTGCACATCCCACTTACCAGGTACTGACTTCTTCCTTGACTCTTTTTCAGTGGTGCAAACGGAGACTTCCCTGGGAATCATACCTCAAGCCAGAGACTCCATCAGCTGCAGAATGGAACTCTGCTACTCCTACACCCTGGATTACCAGATGAGGACACCACCTGTTAATGGGCACAAGTCATGAACTACCCTCAACCACAACCTTCAGAATTCCTGGCATTGCCACAAGCTCCATGCCTGGAAAAAACAGAGAATGACAACCTGCATGAGATGGCAGCAAATCTGTCAGTGCTTCTGGATGCCTATGAGTGCACGAAAGAACACCAAGACCCATCTCTACTCTCTTTAACACACCCTGACATGCAGCATCCCTTGCACTTCACTGATGTTGGGAGCCTAGGGAGAAGCTTGCTTCTGACAATGCCACATTGGGAAGCAGCAGTCTTGGTCAGGATGAGCCTGGGACATGCACAGTGTGTTGGTCTCCAGCATGGACTTTGCAGACATGACTACACTGGTGGCAGAATTTCACCTCCCCAAATGTTCAACCCACTCTCTGAACTGAACCAATTCCAGTTTCTCACAGCCAACCAATGCAGAGACTCCATCGTCATCAGGAGCGATTCACACCCTTAAACCAGGTGAAGAGGAAGGAAGAGAAAAGCCCTCATCTGATTGATGGAGATTCTCTGGCCAGAATCTAGTATCAGGACCTGGTGGAGGGACAGACCCTGAGAACACTGCTATGGCTAGAGAAGGTGAAATTGACAACATCACCCAGTATATAGAGGGCAAAACTCAGAAAGCCACACTCTGCAGGCCCAGCAGACCTAGGAATCATAGAAGACAACACCAAGAGTACTAGAGAAATCAACTCCAAGAAAGCTGAGGGAGCTGACGCTATGAAGTCACAGAGTCTAGACAGAATACAAGCCCACTGTCCTCAACAACAAGAAGATCAATGCACCTGAGCTCAATCCTGATGGCTTTGAAAAGCCTCAAAACCACCTCGGAGAGCACATGCTGGAGTCTGTGAAGGTCTGTCATCACTGTGGAAGAAGGGTAAGAAGAAAACTGGCATCTCCGGAACCTTGAACTCTTTGTGCCACTCTGTGCTCTAATAGTGACAGAGTTGGTCACACTTTAGCCTCTGGGGCAATTGCCATTTTCTTTATCCAGGATTACATATAGCAAGCAGAATTCATTTATTTATTAACTCACTTTTAGTTTCTTGAATTGGGACCCACTCCATACCCAGCATCTCCTAGAACTGACTACATGGAACAGGCAATCACTGAACTCAAAAAGATCTGCCTGCTTCCCCCTCTGCAACAACCTCCATCTCAGCCTCTGCCTCCCCTACAGCCTCCACATCTGCACACTCCTAGGCCACTGTCTCAAGTGTGCTGGGACGAAAGGAATTCTCCTACCAGCAGGGTGGAATCAACGTTTATTTTCTATACCCATGGATAACCATGTGTACTCCAGGGTACATTTTTGGTACATACCTAAACTCCAAAGAGACTAAGCCACATGTTTTTACAAATGCAACTTAACTAAGATTCATTTTTCCTCCGACAATCTGTCTTGTTTCAGTTGTAGGCTCTACTTGTTACAATGCCCTTGAAGCACTGACCTCTTATGAGGTGTGCTCATGCTATCTTGAGTATTTTCTCCTTTTGTATTAAAGTTATGATTGCTTTTCTACTTCTAAGGAGTAGGGAATCTCAGAAATATTATTCACCCTCTCCATAGAGACTCATGGTGCAACTTTCTTCACAATATCTAACTCCCAACTATGGTTTATGTCCAACATTGTTCGTTCTAACAAGGCCTAAGTCCAGTCTAACTCACCTAGAAAATATTAACAAGCCTAGCATGAAAAGATCCTACTACCTGAATGCAATGATCCTCACAGGGACAAATTTGAGTACAGCAGAATGATGGAAAGCAATATCTTAGGGAGGCCTCTGGTTTTATCACTCTCTGTGTGTGGCTTAGTGACATATTTGACCACTGCCATCAGACTCCTGTGTTCATCTTATCCCCTAGAAGCAGTAGAAACACATTTGGATGGATATCTTCTAATCTTGGTATTATTTTAAACTTTATGTATTCAAACTAAGGGTCTTGTAAAATAATCCTTATTAAAGAAACTCAGGAAGCACTTTTGATATTAAAGCAATTCACACAATGCTGTACCTGTATTGAATCCTCAATATCATTATTTCTCATTGTACTATTAACTGAACATTATTTTTAAAACTATATATTGTACACTGAGCCCAGTAACTTTGTGACCAAGGCCTACCCATTCCTTAACTCTCACCAAAACCTTAGGCATTGTTCATATGCTCAACAGCATTGCCTTCAGTGTCAGGAATGGAACATGTAGGTGTGTGTAATCTCCCATCCATATAGCGAGACAGCATCGAGACATATTTGTCTGGGACTGGATACATATGGTATAAAATGATTATCCCGAGTTATAAGAACTCTCCTGCAATCACCTTGACTACACTCATCACTTTAGCTGAAATGGTTCTGTTGTGTGTAGACATCACATATTCCTTATCCATTGCTCTGTTATTGGACAGCAAGATCAGGTAATATAGATATTCCCGAAAAAACCTGCTATCTATACTCATGTGCAAAGCAATAACATTTTCAATTCCTTGGAATATTAGGGATGGAAATTGAGACAGACCATGGGTTTGTGTTTAAAGTGACTCCATACTGAAATAGAGAGAGAGTAGAATACTTCACACTATATCCACCAACTTATTTGTGTTTCCTGTGGAAGCAATACTTGGAAGCCCCCTACTTTCAGTTAACTCTCCATTTCTATTCTCTAGCATTAAGAAAGACCATTTTCCAATGGGCCTGGTGTTCAAATTCAAGTAATGTCTGGAATGACAAGTCAAGTTTTCATGAACCTCCATGGCTCCTTCGACTATGTACAGTTAAGATTCACAGCCACAGACCTGTCTATCACTGAATTAACCTGTTCAATTACTTTGAAAGTTCTCCATCCATCTGATCATCCATAACAATGGGATGTTCACTTGATTTTGGAATAGAAAGCCATGCTACATTCTTCTACCCGACTGCTCTATCTCTCAATTCCACTGGGATCCTACTGGCAGGACAATCCCTGAGCTTTGGATGGACTGCTTTGTGCATGATCCATTTCTGAGTACCAGCCGGCCATCTCACCACAACAGCAGCCACTGAGTCTCAGCAGCCTAAACAATGACAGCTCTCTCCATCAGCAACAGAAACAATGCCATAGGAAGACCAACAAAGAGTCAGACTGTAACAGTTACAGCTGCACCTGAAACTACATTAATCTCCTGGAAACCACAAAGCTTTAGAAGGGAAACATAGAGACCCAATCATTCCAGTCAACAAAACAATAGCAGTTGTATTCCCTCTAGACCTGGAACTCCTCCATCACTGGAGATTTTGTGGTGGGTTGCAGTACAAAATACAAATTCCCTTCCGTGCAGGTGTACACTTATTAAATTGGGGAGTTGTTTAAATTATAGCTATCAACTCTTCTTTCTCTGTACCAGTGTATACATCTCTCTTGTGTAGATGTAACCAACCGTCTTATTAAATAAGAAACACAGAACCAATGCAAAGAAGAAAGCCAAGAGATCAGAGCTAAGAGCCTTACCTGCCTGCTGCAGCTATCCTCTCCAGCCAAGAGGCCTCTCTGAAAGAGAGCTACATCCTGTCTGTTTGTCTTGATATAGACTTTCTTTTCTGCCTTCTCTTTGGTTGTAAACCCAACCACATGACTGCCTCTTCACTGCCTGTTTGTACAGTTCTCCAGGTCTTCTATGGTTGGTATTGAGATTAAAGACTTTTGTCTCCAATGATGGCTGTAACCTTGAACACACAGAGATCTACCTCGCTCTGCCTACCAAGTGCTGGAATTAAAGGTGTGCACCACAAACACCCAGCTCTGCTATGGCTTGCTATTAGCTCTGACCCCCAGGCAACTTTCTTTATTAACATACAAATAAATTCATATTTCAGTACAAATAAAATACCACCATATTTCCCCTTTTCTATATTAATAAAAAGAAAAAGGAAAAAGGTTATAACTAACAAAAGAAAAACTATATA